AACTGTGGATTTTAAACTGTATATTCATTCTTGAATAGAAATAGAACCATTCAGATTTTTAATTTATTTTCTGTTAATTTTGGCAAGTTGAGTTTTTCTAGTAGTGTTCATTTCCTTTAAATTTGAAAACATATTAAAATAAAGTTGTTACTATTATCTTTTAACATTTACCTAGACTTAGTAGTTATGTCACCTTTTCATTCCTAATATTGATAAATTATGTTTTCTCTCTTTTTTCCCCCTTGAGCAGTTTTCAAAGCCATTTATATTAGACTTTTTGATTAATCAACTTTTTGTTTTGTTGATTTTCTGCATTGTATGTTGGTTTTTAAGTTTTGCTCTTATCTTTGTTATATCCTTCCTTCTACATATTTGAGTTCAATTTGCTACTCTATTTCTAACATCTTAAGATAGTTAGATCATTAAGTTTTAGACTTCCTTTTTTCAATGTATGCGTTTTTAGGCTATAAAATTTCTTCAGAGCACAGCTTTAACTGCATCCCATTAGTTTAAATGACATATTTTCATTATCATTCAATTAAAAATATATTCTAATTTACATTGTTACATCTTCTTTTACCATGAGGTTATTTAGAAGCACGTTGTTTAATTTCAAACTTTTGAGGATTTCCTAGTTACTGTTTTATTATTGATTTTTACACTATTCTCACTATGACCGCAGGACATACACTTTATAATTATAATCCTTTAAAATTTGTTAAGATGTGATATATGCCTCAGTAGATGGTCAGTTATGGTAAATGTTTTATTTGCACTAGAAAAGAATGTAGAATCTGATGTTGTTGATAACAGCATTCAGTATATGCCAATTAGGTCAAGTTTGTTATTTATGTTGCTCAGATGGTCTGTATTTTTACAGATCTTTTTGTATGCTAGTTCTTAGAGTTACTGAGAGAGACGAGTTAGACTTTCTGACAGTAACTGTGTGTTTATCTCTTTCTCCATCCAGTTCTGTCAATTTTTGCTTTATATATTTAAAAACTGTGTTTTAGTGCATACAAATTTAGAATTTATATATCTTCCTGAGGACTAACCCTATAATAATAAAGAAATATTTGTCTTAATCTCAAGTAATTCTTTTTGCATTATAGTCTACTTTGTCTGATGTTAGTGTACTACACCAGCTGCCTTGTGGTTAGTGATTGTGTGCTATGTCTTTTTCCACCCTTTTACTTTCAACCTTTCTATATAATTATATTTCAGGTGTGCTCTTGTAAACAGTGTGTTGTTATTGTTGTTTTTAGAATTCAGCTTGACAATTTTTTCTTTTACTTGAAATATTTTGTTTCTTTACATTTAATGTAAAATCATTTGGATAGACATTTATCATTTTCCTATTTTTTTCTACTTGTCTGACATTGTTTCCCTTTTCCTTTTTCCTTTCTTTTCTGCTATATACCAATAAGTAATTTTTGTTATTAAATTTTTCTATTAGTTTATTAAGAATTCTTTTTAAAAATTCTTCTAGTAGTTACAATTGAAATTAAAACATGCAATTAAAATCTCATGTAAATTAATATTTTTGCTTTTTCCCTCACAATCCAAAAACTTAGAACACTTTACCTCTACTTAACCCCTTCTGCATTTTGTGTTATTATTGAAAGGTATTTTAATTACACATATATTTTAAATTCCATAAAATAGTATTCCAATCATTTTATACAGTTAATATTCATTTATACTTACCTGGATATTTACATTCTCCAATGCTCTTCTTTCCTGCCTGCATTTCTTTGCTTCCAGGTGGAATAATTTTCCCCTGCCTTTACTATTCCTTTTCGTGTGCGTCCTCTGGTGACAGATATTTTCAGGTTTTTTTTTTTCCCCTGAAAATGTCTGTTCTGTTTTATTTTTTTAAATGTTTTCATTCAATATAGGATTCTGATTGTCAGTTATCTTATATGAAGATATCTTATATGAAGATGTAATTCTACTGTCTTCTGGCTTTCATCATTTTAGCTCTCAATTTTATTTGTAGATCTTTTGACAGTATTATGTCTTTTTTCTGACTGATTTTTAATACATTTTCTCTTTGTTTGTAATTATTACATTTGTACTATCATGTGTCTAGCAGTGTCATTCTTTATCCTGATTTGGTTTCATGGTGTTTCTTGAATGTTATAGGATGTCTTTCATTAATTTTGAAAAAATTATTACTCATTACCTTTTCAAACGTTGTTTCATCTGAATTCTCACTCTCCTTTCCAAGAGTAATTCCTGTTACAGACAGGTTAGACCTTTTCTCCATGTCCCCTGTCTCTCTTATGCTCATCTCTGTATTTTTCATTACTTTTTTTCTACATGCTTCAATATGGATATTCTCTTCTGACATACTTTCTGGTGTACTATTTCTGTCCTTGGTGTGTTCTTAATCTGCTGTTAAACATATTTTTGAGTTCTTAAATTCAGTTATTAAATTTTCAATTTTAAAATTTTATTTGATTTTTAAAAAATTGTTTCCAATTCTTTGTTGTAATTTTCCAGCTAATGTTTTGATCATCTCTGGCTCTGTTTCCATTCTTTGTTTTTTCTCTTGAGTTTCCAGTGTTTTGGTCTTATTTGCTTTATGCCTGGTAATATTTTATTGATCACTGATAAATGTAGTGATTCTGTGGTTATAAATAATGAAATTGTTTTGCACAGTTTTGATCATCAAAGGCAGTTAGGAGAGGGGAGGATCAACTTAATCTCGTCTGTGTTTAAGCTGATTCAAATCAGAATTTCAGTCTTCATGAAGTCTTGTCTATTTTTGCTTCACCTTTCTTCTAGGGCCGTTCCCATTGCTGTCGAGTCGATTTTGACTCATGGTGACCTTATAGACAGAGTAGAACTGCCCGTATAGGGTTTCCAAGGCTGTAATCTTTATGGAAGCGTATTGCCACATCTTTCTTCTGCGAAGTGGGTGGTGGGTTTGAACCACTGACCTTTCAGTTAGCAGCCGAGTGCTTATCCATTGCCCTACCAGGGCTCCTTTCTTCTAGGGTAGAGACTGACAAAATATTTCTGTAAGGGGCCGGATAATAAATATTTTAGGATTTGCAGGCCATGTGGTCTCTGTCACAGCTATTCAACTCTGTCATCATAGCACAAAGTGACTATAGACAATACATAAATGAATGGTTATGGTTGTGTTCCAATAAAACTTTATTTATGAAAACAAGCACTGCAAATTTGGTCCATAGCATAGTTTTTTGACCCTTCTCCTAGGTATAGCCCTCCAGAGTTCCCTTCTGAAAACCTGGGCTTTTTAACCAGTGGGATGGTGGGATCCTTTAGTTGTTGCAGAATGAATGAATGGTGAATGAATAAAATGCTTTAAATACGTTGGCAATATTTATTTTTCATTATGATATTACCTTCATTTGAACCTCAGTATAACCTTGTAAACTGGGAAGGCAGTATTATTTCTGTTTCCGTAATGAGAAAATGGGAACAGAGAGACCAAGTGACTTTCCCAGGATCTTTCAGCATACTTAATGGTGAATGCAGATCTATTCTCTAGATTCTTAGGTCTCAGGTCAAGTGTCCAGACTGTGTGCTATAGTTCCGCCTCACTCGCTACTTCATTTCTCACTTCCTCTTTTACATTCTTATCTCCTTTATTTCTCTTTCATTTTCCCTCCCCCCATGTCTAGACCTATCATCAATGCCATACTGATAGCTAGGGAGGTGAAGATGCGTTGATTAATGGTGCAGTGGTTAAGTGTTTGGCTGCTAAGCAAAAAATTGGTGGTTTGAACCCACTAGTGACTCTGCAGGAGAAAAAGACCTGATGATCTGCTTCTGTAAAGACTACAGCCTAGGAAACCCTGTGGGGCAGTTCCACTCTGTCCTATAGGGTCTCTGTGAGTCAGAATTGACTCAGTGCACAACAACAACAAAAGGATTTTGTAGAGTTTAATCATCCATGATTTTCTCAAAGCAGAGCCACTCAGGCGAACTCCTCCCTTTCCCTGTGACTCTGCATTAGTCTGGGCACTGGATGCAGGGAGAAGGGATGTGACGTCTGTAATAACTCTTCCCTTTCAAGACAAGTGTGTCTGTAGAATTTCCAGGAGTTTTAGAGAGGTAATTCATATTAACACTTTACTTTGTAATATAAACCTGTGCTTTAGAACCAGCTTGTAAATCCTCAAAACTAGATGATAGTAAGTTACTTCAAAACTGTGTATGGTGCCTGGAAGGTCAGGAATGGACTCCAGGTCAACCACCTTGTCACATCTCTTTGCAACTGGCAATGAATGGGGTAATGGGATTCTTTAGTTGTTAAAAGGAGGAAGTTCATATGTAAAAGCAATAATGTGATGACTGACAACAATATATTCCCTGGTTCCTTAAAGGGAATAACTTCGACTATGTTTTTAAGTAGCTCTCCAGTCACTTCCATTCTGAAATAATTGAAAACCAAATAGATCATTTTGTGTGTGTTTGTATGGGGTAGGGAAAAGCTATCAATTTGTTTCTTGATTTATAAACTGTTTGCCAGCATGTGTGCTAGGGGTCAGTTAAGTTGTAGAGATTAATATCTGGTAAATAATGAGGCCAGGCAGATGGAGCCTGAAGGGTTTTCTGAGATGTCTCCCTCCAACCCAATAAATAGAGAAAGAATCCTTTATAGACAAGTGCACAAACATTAGAGAGAGTACTGCAGCAATCTTAAAAAAATTCAGTGACACACTTCTAAAGTTATTCAATACTTCCTTATTCATAATAGCATATTTGACCTGGTGTTTATTGACCCGGAATGGTTGTCAGCTCTTATTTTCTGAAACACTAAAATTGTAAGCATTATATTCTGATTGTAAAGATCCTAACCACCAGTTGCCATTGTCTTGAATGCTATGCTCTGGTGGCCTGTGGTCCTAGCAAGAAACAGGAAGGAGAAACATAGGTCAGCAGGCCAGAGAACATTGGTTTTCCTGGCCCATGACCTGGCTTGACTGGGATGTTTAAAGGCTCTTCCTATTTATGCATTTCAGGTAGCATCCTCTTCCAGTGCCTGACCATGGAATCAGAGAAGATCTCAGAGAGACAGGAGGAAATCCTCTCCATCCTGGAAGAGAAATTTCCTAATTTGCCTCCGAGAGAAGACATCTTCAAAGTTCTGCAAGAGACCCAGTTTAGTGCTCAGGGTGAGTGACTATGTCCCCCAGTTTGCTCCCAAGGGAGAATGCTCTGTGGGATGCAGTGTTGAAGGTATATTTGTGCATGCCTTCATTTTCTTTACTCTTGTTTGTGTGTCTGGAAGATTTTCAGGCACATGCGTTGGCTCACTTGGAAGCAGGCAACCTGTACTGTAGCCTCTCCTCTGAGGCCTTTGTGTCTGGATCTGAGGTTAATTCACGTGTCTAATGTGCACCCCAGGGTCCTGGGTGACACAAAGTTAAGCACTCCACTGCTCACCAAAGGTTGACAGTTCAAACCCACCCAGAGGTACCTTGGAAGAAAATCTTAGCAATCTACTTTAGAAAAATCAACCATTGAAAACCCAATGATTTTGACATACAGGGGGTCGCCGTGAGTTGGAATCAACTCAATGGCAACTTTTTTCTTTCTGTGTGTGTGCACCCTAAATGCATCATTACAGGAAATCTCTGTGTTGAGAAGATTCTGTCTTGAGAATGTGGCAGGAGCAATGTCAAGCACAATGGGATTTCATAAATTAATTTCAGAAAGAAATTGTAGAGAAGAAGTGGCTGAACTGATGAAATTGTTCTTGAAGTCTAGGCTTTATCAAGAAGTTTATAAACAAGGGGAAAAAATCCACAGAATTTCGTAGATCAACTATTTTAGTAATAAATATAAATAAATACAGTGTGTTGAGTGCTTAATATATACAGTAAAACCTGCAAAAACCAGAACGTCTGTAAGGCAGAAACCTGTCAGAGAAGGAAAACCCAAATATTTTCCACTAAAATGAGTGGTAAGACTGAAAAGAAAGAAAAGTGTTAAGACCCCACCCTGTCAAAGGCGGAAAACTTGTGAGACCTGGAAAAACACGGCAGTCCTGTCGAGTTCTGGCTCTCACAGGTTTTATTGTACCAGGTTCTTATGCTCTATCTTTGCATGGACTAGCCAACTGAATTCTCATAACAACTCTAAGAATCAGGTACTATTATTATCCCCAATTTCCAGATGAAAACAGTGAGGCATAGAAAGACTTCTTTGCTTTCCCCAGGTAACATCCACCCAGTGGGCAAGTGGCCAGGCCAGGATTAAACCTAGACAATCTATCTTTAAGGTACAAACACTGAATTACATGGGTTTCTCCCTTAGTTTGGAAACCCCTAGGGGCAGATCCCAAGGCAAAGACTCTAGTGAAAGTCGTTTTTTTGGGAGGTGATTGCAGAAACAGAAAGTGTGGCATTTCACCTCAGACTTATACTACCTGAGGGGAGCAGTAGTGTGCTGGAACCCACCCACCTTGCAAGAGTTGACTGGTAAATGTTCAGGAAATTTGTGAGTCACTTGATATTACATTCATAGCTTGAAAGCAGCCATGGTGGGAGTATTCACACCACAGAAATTGACAACCACTGTACATTAGGGAAGGAGTCCTGATGGTGCAGTGGTTAAAGAGCTCAGCTGCTAAACAAAAGGTTGGCGGTTCAAACCCACCAGCTGCTCTGCAGCAGAAAGATGTAGCAGTCTGCTTCTGTATAGATTTACAGCCTTGGAAACCTTATAGGGAAGTTTTACTCTGTCCTATAGGGTCGCTATGAGTTGGAATTGACTCCACGGTGGTAGATTTGGTTTTGGTTTTTTGATTTTATACATCAGAGTTTTGTGTGTGTGTGTTTTTGAGAGATGGTTGTTAAACATTTACCAGTAATCACTGGACTATTGAGGGTTGCTCCCCAAACCAAACTAAGCCAGTTGCCAGCAAGTCAATTACAACTCATGGCAACTCCATGTGTGTCAGAGTAGAATTGTACTCCATAAAATTTTTAAGACTGTGACCTTTAGAAGGAGATTGACAGGACTTCCTTCCAGGCTACCTCTGGGTGGGCTCGAACCTCCAACCTTTCAGTTAGTAGTCAAGCACTTAACCATTTGTGCTACCCAGGGACTCCTGAGGGCTGCTCCTGTTGCCACTGAATTGATTCCAACTCATAGTGACCCTATAGGACACAGTAGAACTGCCCCATAGGGTTTCCAAGGAGTGGCTGGTGGATTTGAACCGCTGACCTTTTGGTTACCAGCTGAGCTCTTAACCACTACGCCACCAAGGCTCCTGAGGGCTGCTCCCAGGAGGTGTTAATTCCACAGCACTCCCAACTTGCCTCCTGTGAAGGGCCCAGTAGGCTCTGGTGGCCAGAGAAAGCCCTCCGGAAAAGAGATGTTTGTGCTGGAGGTTGAGAGTCATGCTGGGGTTCACTGAGATGGGAAAATCTGTGGAAATGTGAGTGGGACGTATTAGCTATACCTTCCATTACATAGGTACATGTATATGTAGCTGCATAATGGTAAGCATTTTGCAATTGGTTTTTAGAGCTAGACCAAACTTTTTATGTCACAATATATTCTATAAATCATTTTATGCAGCAGTATGGTAGATTGTGGCCTTTCAATCTTTGAACCGAAGAAAACTATTAAGTACCTGCCTTAGTTATCTCGTGCTGCTATAACAGAAATATCTCAACTGAGTCGCTTTAACAAACAGAAATTTATTTTCTCATAGTTTAGGAGAATAGAAGTCTGAGTTCAGGGTGCCAGCTGTAAGGGAAGGCTTTCTTTCACTGTCAGCTCTGGAGGAAGGGCCTCATCTCTTTTAAGCTTCTGCTCCTGGGTGATCTTCGTGTAGCTTGGCATCTCTCTTTCCTCATCTCTGCTTGCTCACTTGCTTGTTTAATCTCTTTTATATCTCAAAAGAGATTGATTTAAGACACACCCTACACTAATCCAGTCTCATTAACATAGACAACCCATCCCCAAATGAGATTATAACCACCAGCATAGAGGTTAGGATTTACAACACATGTTTTGGGGGAACACAATTCAATCCATAACATTCCATCCTTTGTCTCTCCAAAATTCATATTCTTCATACGCGCAAAACACATTCACCCCATCGTATCATCCCGAAAGTCTTAAATCAACTCCAAGTCCAAAATCTCATCTTCTGAAGCATCTAAATCAAAACATGGCTGAGACTTTAGGCGTAGTCCATCCTGGGGCAAAATTGCTCTTTATCTGTGAACCTGTGAAACCTAGAATACAAGTTATCTGTTTCCAAAGTACACTGGTGGAAAAGGCACAAGGTAGAACATCTCCATTACAAATGGGAGAAATCGGAGAGAAAGAGGGATAACAGGCACCAAGCAAGTTCAAAAGCCAGCAGAACAAATTACATTAGCTTTCAAGGCTTGAAAATAATCCTCTCTTCTCTGAGACCATCTGGGTGATGGCCCTACCCTCTAGACTCTGGATGTTGGCTATGTTCTCTGGATTCTGGGTGGAGACTCCTCAGCCCTGGCCTTCAGCTCCACCTTCCAGGCCCACTGGGATGGCAACTCCTAGTCCATCTGAGTGGCGACTTCACCCTTCAGGTCCTTCAGGCCCCATTCTTCAGCACCTTGGGCATGGCAGTCTCACCTCCTCAGCTTTGGGCAGCGGCGCCGTTCCCCTGGCACACTTTAATGGCAGCCCCACACTCTGGGACTGAGTTGGCAAAGATCTGACTCTTTGAAACCTAGGAGACTGTGGCCTCACCCTTTGCAACCAAGAAGGTCCTGCTTCCCGTGCTCCTTCCAACAGTTCTGATCTCTGAGCTTCTCCAGGGATGGTCCTTTTCTTTTCTTGGAGGACAACAGATGTAGCTCCTTTGGCCTATTTCCTGCCTGTCAAATTCCAAGAGGCAGACAGCATTCTCTCCTTTCATTCTTTCTCTGTCCCCTTCAGTCTAAGCTGATGGGTTTTGTGCTGTGATAGTTGGTTAGATCCATCAATCACAGGCTTAATCTCTTCAACAAACAATTGTGTAGCCACATCCTTGGATATGTGCCCTTGGTTTGTACAACAGAATTTACCAAATCTTTAAGTTCTGTTTTCATTTTGCACAGTTCGTTTTTAAGTCCATCTCTTTGCTCTCGCATTTTATTATAAGCAGGAAGGAGAAACCATGTGGCCCTTTTAAGATCTTTCTTAGACATCTCACCGGCCAGATATCCAAGTTCATCACTTACAAGTTCTACTTTCCACAAAACATTTGAACATAATTCAGTCAAGTTATTTGCCACTGCATAAAAAGCATCACCCTTCATCCGCTGTGGCACAGTGGCTAAGACCTAAGGCTGCTAACCAAAAGATTGGCAGTTTGAATCAACCCACCACTCCTTGGAAATCCCATAAGGCAGTTCTACTCTGTCCTATAGGGTTGCTATGAGTCGGAATTGACTCGACAGCAATGGGATTTTTGGTTTGGTCTTCATCCACTGTCCAATCACATGTTCATCATTTTCTTCTAAAGCTTCACCAGAGGCACATTTAATGTCCACATTTCTAGCAACATTCCGTTGCTCATGCCATATGTATCCTCCAAGATGGTGCAGACTTTCTCCACAGCTCTCCTCACTTCCTTCTGAGCCTTCACCAGAATTTTCTTTGCTGTCCATAATTCTACCAACAGTCTCTTCAAGGCAGTCTAGGCTTTCACTACTAGGTACCTTAAAACTCAGCCTCTATCCATTACTCAATTCCAAAACCACTTCCACACTTAGGTATTTGTTAGAGCAGCACTCCTACTTCTCGGTACCAAATTCTGTCTTAGATATCTAGTGCTACTGTAACAGAAGTACCTCCAGTGTGTGGCTTTAACAAACAGGAATTTATTTTCTCCTAGTTTAAGAAGCTCTAAGTCTGAATGCAGGGTGCCGACTCTAAGGGAAGGCTTTCTTTCACTGTCGGCTCTGGAGGAAGGTCCTTGTCTGTTTTGAACTTCTGCTCCTGGGTGGTCTTCATGTGGCTTGACATCTCTCTTCCTCCATCTCTGCTTGCTTACTTGCTTGTTTAATCTCGTTTATATCTCAAAAGCGATTGACTTAAGACACACTCTACACTAATCCTGTCCATTAACATAACCAAGAGAACCCATTCCTGAATGGGATTATAACCACAGGCATAGAGGTTAGGATTTACAACACATATTTTTGGGGGACACAATTCAATCCATAACCGTACCTGTCTGCTTCCCCATCTACTGTGATTGATAGTGTGTTCTAAGTTGATAGGGCAAACAGTCGACTTCTTTGTCTTAACATGGATCTGGGAAAAGATATATATGCTTTCCTAGGCCTTATTATGGCTCTTCTTCCCAAGAGGTTAGGCCTAATCAGAGATAATAACACGAGGTGAGGATTAAATGTCATGTCAGCTCCTTTTCTATTTTTCAGTGATAGCTTTTATTAAAGCACATTCATCAGATATGCAGTTCTGGGTAATTTAGCCATTTTGGATTATTCCTCCTAACACTTAAGGAAACCAGCAGCTTCTATTGCCAGAGCCTACTACAAGGGTGGCTAACTTAATTATGGTCCCTTTACTGGTCACATATATAAAGTGCATTTTGAGTAAATTATATTGAAAACATCGAGGGTCACCTAAATGTTACTAAAAATATATTTTGGCTTTGCTTAGCTTTATTTTTCCAGTTAGCATAGTTAAGCTAGTTTTTCTTTATCCCTCCCCTCACCCCCCTTCCCTTCTCTGCCCTTATCTTTTATGGGCCTCCAGAGTCTTACCTCTAAGTATTTAATCTTCTGGGATCCGTTGACACTGGCTTCTGGTTGGGTTTGGCCAGTGGGAAAAGGTAGAAACACGTTGTGTATGTGTGCGTGGTGGGGGTGGGGGTAGGAGAAGGAAGGAGAGGAGAAGAGAGATGCTGTAGTATTTCTTCCCTGTTTCCTTTGGACTTTGGTGCTAAGTTTTTGGCAGCCCCTCTTCCCAGAGTTCCAGATCTCTCTCCTTCCCTTGGCCCCTTGCTAATCTCTGGGTGCTTCACCATCCTTTGTTTCCTCAATCCTTCCCACATCTCTGTAAGTGCCCTACCATTAAAGAATCTTCTTTTGAATTATGAGGAGTTACTTCTAATTTCTGCTGGGATCCTAATTGATGTCTGTATTGTCTGTAATGTAATTTTTGCCTTAATGTGTGTGTTTTATTACGAATAAATGTATATTGGAGGGGAAAATATTGAAATTAGCAAGGTGAATTCTTAAAATAACCCCCTGATATTACAAAAAAAGTTCACCAAGTATAACGTACTGTTTTTTTCCTGTCATTCACAGGTTTAAGTATGGAGCAGACAATACTGAAGGATCTAAAAGAATTGTCAGATGGAGAAATAAAACTGGCCGTTAGTACCGTGAATATGACCCTTGAGGTAAGGGTGGGGATGCTTTTTAAGCAATGATAGATTTTACAGAATGGCAGCATGAGCAACTGGAATATAACCCCCTCCTACTCCAGCCTATAAGTTGATGTTAGTCTTGTGCTGTGAATGCTTCTTTGTGATATATTTGACTAGGAATACAGGTTATTATTTTGGGTAAAAACACTATGCCAAGTCAATGAAAAACGCCAAACCTCTCTTCCCAAGTTGAGTTCTATTTCATTCATCTCAGTAGAAAATTTTTAAAATAAACCTACACCATAAACACTTACATGTGTGTGTTTGTGCATATAATAAGTTTGATAGCATTATAATATATATGTGATAAGGTTCACTTCCTTTTTTTTCCTGCACTACTTTTCATTGTCCACAGAACGTTTCTAAGGTGGCAAATTTCTTTGGCCTTTGTATGCTATTTGGATACATGTTATTTTGTTAATCAGTGATGACAACTTGAGGAATCTCCTTCCAATCTGTTAAATGAATGACTCAGAGTGAATGCTACTCTTGTCTTTGTGTATTTCCATGGTAAATTATCTTTTGTCTACTATGGGGGTTTTCAATGACTTGTTTGTTAATCTTAATTAACCTAACTAATGGGAACTATATTTTGCAGAGGCATATTTGTGCTGTGCCATAGTCTCTGCATTTCTTTACTGTTGTAGTGCCTTGATCAAGCTGTCCACTTTTGGTTGATGTACCAAGCTCCCAAGTCAAGTTTATGGAGATAATATTTGCTGTTTTAGGAATTTGTCTTTCAGTTTTTAGAACTGTATGTTGCTATTCTTTTTTCTCATGGCAGTGGTGTCTGTATCAATGTATCCATTTCTGCAGAATGGCAGACATGCATATGGATATCCACATCTCAGAAAGTCCAAGAACAAGCGAGGAGCTTTTTGCTGTGATCTCTTTGGAAAATTTATTCCCAGTTGATTGACATCATGATTCAGCTCCCAGATCTATATGAGTACTGGGAGGCAGACTGCCGTCACTAAATATAATCACATTTTATGGTTGTATAGTGTCTCGTGGTTTATGGACCATATTCTCATTGGACATAGTCGGTAGATGGATTCAGCTGTTTCTGTGGACTTTCAAATTGATAGGTGCTCCATATAATTAGTTGTTGATGTAAATCAATACAAGAAGTACATGCAATTTGGGATGTAGTAACTAGATAATCACCTTCAATTAGAGATCTGCTTTGTGTCTAGAAATCCAAGGGAAACATGGATCTTGCAAGGGTCAGTAGCTCCGAGAATCATTTCTACTAGTTCAAGCCATAGGGTTTACTTTCTTTTTCCCCCGCCCCTGTCTCCCTTCATTTAATGGCATCTTATTAGGTTTTAAATGCCTTGTTTAGAATTCCTTTCTAAATTAACATGGAACATCTTGTAATTGCTTAGGGAACTGTCTGTAGTTATCAAATTATTTTAAGGCTATTAATATAGACTTATCATAGCTTTAATGTAACTTCATTTATATACTATATGGGTATACAAATGGCTTTGTCAGATACATTAAACTGTAAATGTTTAGCAGGCTGAATAAGTGATAAAATGATCATCTTAATCTTGACAGCAATTTACATACAGGTCCAGTAATTAATCAGGTGGTTAAGTACATCTCTGGGAGTGCTCTGTGATCTTCTAGGAGGGAAGGAGGACACATGTATGTGTAAATAAGGTACCGGTTTAAACTCTCATCAGCTGAATGAGACTTTTTTACTTTTGCATAATGGAGATATGAGAAATGGAGAAAGAACTCTTTAGTAACATTCCATATCTCCCTTGAAGGAGAAAATGTACATTATTTGTTTAATCTACTAGAAAAATCTCAAAGTTAAGGGCAGAGTTTGGTTTTCTCTGTAGGTTGTCTTGTGGTACAGCGTGGTATTTTCCAATCTCTACTCATATATGATAGTATTTCAACATCCCTTTCCCATTTTCATTGACCTCACTTTTAAAAATAATGACAGAATCCCCAGAATCTTATTTTGTGTATTTGGGAACAGCAGTATAATCTTGACATATTCTCAAAGAAATGTTATTATTCCCATGACTTTCTAAATCTCACTGGTCCTGTGAAACATGATCAAGACATAGGTACTTCCAAATGCCTTTTGTAAATTCTCCATCTTTTATTACAACCCTCTGCACTCTTGCAAGATTTAGTCTAAATTACCAATTTAAGACTTAAATCTATACTATACCTTCCATTAATTTTGGCCTTGTTTCATATATTTAGTCATGCTTAGACAGTATTTTAAGTTAATTGAGGGTAACGGTGGTATCTTTTACTCCTGTTTCTCTATTTTCTGGCACAGTACTAGGCACATAGTAGCTGTTTAGTAAATACAAATACTTCGGTTAAAACATTGGTGTTTAAAATTTGTTCCTTTGATATCTGATTTTTATTTCCTTTTGAATTTAAATGAATCACCTAGGAAAGCAAAGGTGCCTAGCTAAGCATCCAGAGCAACCTTCTTTGATCCCTTTTAGTTTCTTCTCAAGACGACTATGGTTGAAGATTGAGATCAAACAGATAAAGAATGGCCCACATATTTATAGACAGTGCTGCTTATCCAGCTGTCTAAAGATGGAGTAGGCAGCTTGGTAAAGTAGTTAGCTGTCTGTCACTCGAAGGAATCAACTGGAGGTTCTGTGGCATGTCAGGGATATGGGAAAGGCGATTCCTTACGTTTCCAGTGGTCCTTTACAAGGCCATAATTCCGCAGTTGTAAGTATCATGACATTCATTTGTCTGATGGCCCAATTAATTTTCCTGGGTGGAAGTTAGAAGAATTTGTCTCTTTGCAACATAAGTAGCATGCTTTTCAGTGGAAACCACTCTGGTTTGGGAGGCAGAAGCCGCTACCTTTGACAGGTTAACTCTGACACACTATATGTCCAGGAGAAAGCTACGAAGAGATCTTTTCTCTAGAAATCCAAGGATTTCTCATTTTATTTTAGTATATTTCACAAGTGATTATTGTAATCTACTCAAATTTATACAAGTTACTGAAAGAACTACCATAAAGAGCAAATGATCATAATAATGCGGAGTTTCCAGGTTTGCAGTGAGAGATGCTCAATAGATAATGTAGAATGAATGTGGGTTTGAGGACTGGTAGAAATGGCCTTATCTGAAGCATGGGCAGAGGGGCAGCCCTCCTTACAGAGAGGACCACTGGAAGCTAGGACCGTAGACAAGACACCGCAGTCCCATTTTTCATGGCCTCCGGGCCATTCCAAGTCTGACTGTAGCACAGTCCTCTGGGGCCTACACAGTAACATGTTGGAATCCTTCACTGATTATCCTTCACTACACCTTCACTGATTGTTGTTGTACCTGGTTCCTTGAGCCATTTTCTTTGCGTGCCAATTTACTTATCATAAGGAAATTTATAGATACCAGAGCATGTGCTTAACTGGAATGAACTTTAGCTTTATTCTTTCGCCAGCAGAATAGGGTGGCAATTATGCTTCCTGGGCCTAGCTTACTCCCTAGTAAAGCAGTACATTAACTTGTTAGAGGGAAGAAACAGCTCTTTCCGTTCTCATAAGGTACCACTGAAGCAACTGAGGTTGCTCGTGGCAGTACCACATTAACGGTTCCTTTGCTAACACCAAATATTATTACACCTCCTTTACGCATCTCCTCAAAGGCTGTAAGTCATTAGCATCTTTTCCCTGGAAGGACAATAGCCAAGTACTGATTCAATCACTTCTGATTATGATCAATTGCATTATGATTTATTCCTGTATATATACTATTAATGAAAGTATTAATTTTCCTGATAAAAGAACAAAAGTTAGAATAAAACTGTCTCTGTGAACCTGTTAAGGGCATTGATGGTTCAGTGGTAGAATTCTTGCCTTCCATGCAGGAGACCCGGGTTCGATTCCTAGCCAATACACATTACGCGCAGCCACTACCTGTCCATCCGTGGAGGCTTGCATGTTGCTATGATGCTGGAAAGGTTTCAGCAGAGCTTCTGGACTGAGATGGACTAGGAAGAAAGGCTGACTCAATGGCAGCTAAAAACAACATGAACCCGTTGCCTGCTAAGCAAATTTCAACTGTTGTTCCCACATCTTCTTAATTTCAAATCATTATTCAAATTCAAATCATTGAAAGGATTTTCAATTTTTGCCGTTTTGTCTCCTTTTTTTGGGTCTGGAGTAGGAGGAATTATTCAGGCCTGTTTTCTCTCTGAGTCTCTGGACTGTTCTGTTGTGCTCTCAGCCCAGCCTCCTCATGAGCAGACACGCTGCCATTTGAAACCTGGGACAGAGAACACATGGGATGCCTTCTGGTGAAGTGACTCAGAGACTGCTGACTCATCCTGCCTTGCCCAGAGATTCCAAGTCAAGCTGCACCTGGGAACACTGCAGGGGGAAAAATACCAGCATTTTCTGTTAGCATTCAGGACACTGACCAGAATGAATTCCCAAAGTCACTGCTAAACTCCTCCCTAACAAAAAGGGAAGTTTACTCAGGCCTCAGTGAAGTGTAACTGAACCATTTTAGCCAGTGATTTAAGGCCAGTCTGAAATCTGCTTTACCAATTTTGGTCACCAAATTGTGCTTTCTCATTGTTTGAGCTACGAGTTTTTTGGAGGTCAAGATGAAAATACTTCTAGGGTATTTACCTGCCTTATGCTGTGGTAGAATGCAGAGTAACATCTTGGGGGAGCATGTAGTTCTTCTGTTTGATGAGCATATTCTTCAAAATGCCAAATGCTTACACTGAAGGTGACTTTTCAAAGCCATCCTGTCCAACCAATGGAAATGCATGCAACCTCTCCCCTGGGTTCTAAATCATAAGTGCTTTTGCTTCCCTTTGGATTCAGTTCTGCCAACTCCTTCTTGCTACAATAATGAGAGTTGGCATTTAATGAGTGCTCACTGTGTTCAAGACAGTGAAGTAAGTGGCTTATACGCATCATCTCATTTAATCCTCCCAGCAACCCCATGAGCTAGAGGAG